AAAATTGTCACCTTTTGAAGACAAATACTATAATAGTTTGTGACTTGAAAGAAACCTGCTGTGTCATGCATGCATCCTTTGATAAGGAAGGCAGTGATTTATCCCAAATAAGAATGACTTCTAGGGCTGGAGAGATAGCTCACTGGTCTAAAGCACCTACTTGGAACAAGCTTGGCAAAGCACAGGACCACAGTTCAATCTCCCAGCACCACATGCCAGCCAGCCCCGCCCCCAGGTGTGCTGAGCTGGCCACACACACACACACACACACACACACACACAATAAATAAATGTAAAAAAAAGAAATAAAAGATTTCTGTTTAAAAAAAAAAGAATGACTTCTGAAACTTCTCTTGTTCTCTTTTCTCAAGTGTCAAAAGTAGAAGTGGGTTGGAAGCATGGTCACCTAGGTCAGTTCATCACTATCTTCTCATGTACATGAAAACAGCTGAGGTTCCTGTTTCAGTGCAGACTCTTGATTCTGTGGGTGTAGAGTCATAGAATTATGAAATTATGTGTAGTTACCTGGAAAGAAAAACAAATCAAAGACATTGACTTTAAAGACCTATATCCAGTGAAGAAGACTTGACTCTGGTTAAGCATCTAGATGTTATCTTTATACTCACTTAGTTTGACTCTGCAATCTCTTGATTGATTGGTCAAAAGTTCATACAGCTAGAGAGAAGGGCACACCACAAATTTATAGAAGGACAAAAATCTTAAGATACTTGAGAGGGTTTTTTTCCCTTTTATTTTGAATCCAGATATTAAATTTTATTTTTAAAAGACTAGAAATACATATTAGAATCAATATTCCTTGTTCAACTGTAGGACATTTAACTAAATAATGATAAATCTTTTTATAAAATGGGTTCTAAATGTTTCTAGTTTTATTGGGATTTGTTTTCTATTAATAGTTGGATAGCGAAAGAACTCTGGAGCCATACCTGTGGGTTTTATCTTCCCACAGAGATGTCACTTTTGTTTCTTATATTGCATAACATTTCAGAGTAATGACCTATTCTTGTGGTCAAGCCACACAGTCTGACCATTTTAAGTGTCAAAAAGCAACTATCATTATTAGCATATTTAGATCATCAGTGTTTATAAGAATATTGTTGCTGCTTGCCAGAAATGTAGGACAGCCCATTGCTCTTACATACTCATCAATAATAGTATCAGGTTCTAATAAAACCCTTTCCCTGTGTTTAGTCTTTTTCATAATACAAATGAAATAGCTGTATTTTAGTTCTTTATTATAAGAGTATTAACTTTATTTAAACACAAATATAATCACAGTTGTTAACATTATTCATTTAAGGCTTCAGTTAACATCCAACATGAACTAGCAAAATGCAACAAAACCCCACAAAAGATATGACCCCATTCTAAACTCTTTTGTCTTGTTGCATTTTAAATATCTCAGCTGTAGTTTTATATTTTATCATTGTGTTCAGAAAAATTGTTTTTGATAGTTGTCCAACTGAGTTTGTGAAAATAACTATCTCCAAATCTACTCATGCTACCGATATACTATATGTTTATCGTCACTGATTTAAAATATTTATTATGCCACTATTTAAGGTCTTTAGTATAATCAATCTCTTTCCTCCCCATGTTTTATTTTTCTTTTTTAAGCCAATGTTTATTGGAGGTTTAGAGTAAAAGTTCATATTAAAATAGAATCAAATTGATAGTGCAGTGAAACATTGTGAAGTTTTCTTCTTTCCAGAAGTCCAATTCCATAAATCATTCTGTTTTATCAATCAAATGTATGATATGAATGAATTCAAATTACAATAACTTTAATGTGGAGTGTCAATGTCATGTTACTGTCATGATTTCTTAAGCAGTTGACAGCTCTTAAATCTGGAGACCACCAGATTCCACTCAGAAATAGTGCCATTGTTAATCATGCATTTCCTTGATAAATTTTGATTAGTTACTAGTTTATTAAAAGCTGCTTCTACAGTAAATGAGTAATAATTATTATCAAGTTGTGCAAATAGAGCAAAATTAGATCCTTTCTCCGCCCTCCTCCAGTCCTTCATATCTTCCAAAGAAAGATCTGTCTGTTCTATTTTGTATTGTTTTTCTTTTTTCTTTTCTTTTCTTTTCTTTCTTTCTTTATTTATTGGCAGAACTGGGGATTGAACTCAGGCCCCTGCGCTTGCCAGGCAAGCTCTTATTCCACTAAGCCATCTCCCCGGCCCCTGTCTGTTCTATTTTGAGGAAACAATAATCATGTGAGGAAATAACATCAAGCTAGCATTTTTTTTTAAAAAAAAAGACAAAATGTCTGGTAATTTTTGTGACATTACTAGTAGCCTGAGATTTATATTTATTATAAAAACAGTTTCTACAATGTGCTCTATGCAATTTCAGTCTTCTTGAGAACAGTTGCCTGGAAAAGCAAAATCACACCGATAAAGTCAGTGGAATTGTTTTAGTGAAGAAAACTGGAGAGTAAAATTGTATTAAATTAATAACCTAACAAGTAA